CTTCTGCTTGACTCCACACGGTCCTCTCCAAGCTGTGTCTGTCGACTTTAGCTGCCTCATCTCCCTTCAAGGCTGAAGGCACAAATATGTCACTGTCCAACAACATCAAGTTCTGCAGGACAAACCACCCTGCTCCAGACGAGGGCATAATATACGGTGAGCTTCTACACCCTGGAGCAGGTCATCTTGCAGAAACCACATTGGTTCCCTCAGGAGGACGAAGCCAGTAATAAATAAACTAATAATGTATGGTACTACCCTACAGTACTGTAGCTGAGACAATAAAACGCAGGACCACAACTTGACCATGGCTGCTTCATTATGCATACCCCTTGTCCCTGGTCTCAACTATCCCTCTGCTTAAAACCCACATAAGCACCCCAAAGATGAACTGGAGATGGCTGAGGCTTTCTTCATTCTTCTTCCAAATGAGTGGGTTATATCTCCTCTCTGTGTTTCCTTGCTAGGATGGTGCATCGGGGCAGTGGTTAAGCCTAGCTTGTTAGTCTTGCTAGCACTGGCATTCTTACACCAAGACTTTGGTTACATCTCTATATTCAGGGGTGTTTGTTGGAGAAGATACAAAAAAATCTTTATAGTTGTTGGGTGTTTTATAATGACTTATCCCTAAGCACCTACCAGTTTTGGAGGTTCAACCTCAGCCGAGAGATTGACCCAGGGCTATTGTTGAATATTAGTTTAAGATGTGTGACATTTGTCTATGCTATGAGATATTTGTTTAATGATGCAAAGATGCGTTGCATTCCTTTATGCTGCATTTGTTTAACTCTGTGATGCTGTGTTACTTTGCCTGTCTTAAACACCTGATTGGTCTAATAAAGAGCTGAACGGCCAATAGCAAGGCAGGAGAAAGGATAGGCGGGGCTGGCAGGCAAAGAGTATAAATAGGAGGAGAAATCTAGGCTCAAAAGAAGAAAGAGGGAGAAAAGGGGAAGGAAAGGAGGATGCCAGGGGACAGCTACCCCAGCCACATAACCAGTCACTGAGTAAAAAGGGAAGAAAGACATAGAATAAAGGAAGGCAAAAGGCCCAGAGGGAAACCACAGTTAAAGAGAAATGGGATAATTTAAGTTAGAAAAGCTGGCTAGAAACAAGCCAAGCTAAGGCCAGGCATTGGTAAGTAAGAATACGTCTCCATGTATTTATTTGGGAGCTGGGTGGCAAGCCCCCCAAAAGAGTAAAAAACAAAGGCCAACTGCACAGGGCCTCTTGCGAAGTCTTTGGGAAGACGTCTTGAGCTAATGTTGTAAGAGGGCTTGACCAGGATAGAGGATAGGTCACTCACACAGATGGTGGTGAGCCTCCCCCAGGCTGAGCATCATCAGACAAGGTGACTCATGTCCATCCTTGGAGCAAGTGATAAAGGGGACCTAACTTTATACGCTAAGCATAGGTTATTCTGGCTGCCACGTAAATAACTAGCTGCAGGACACAAGGAAACAGGAACTTGTCAGGAAGCTAAGACAGCAATGCTGGCACCAGCTGATGGGTGCTTAGAACAGAGAGAAAACAGCAAAAGTCAGGAGAAATGGTGGGATCGTAGATGCACGTTGACATTTTGAAGACAATAGATGGTAAGATATGCTGATAGAGAAAGAATCAGAGAAAATCCACGAAGAGTAACATTGAAAAGAAATATATTCTGTATTTTATGAATCCAAAGATGTATTGGGGTGCATGAATGTGTGCATGTCTGTGTGTGGGTACATGTGGGGGCCAGATATTCTGTACTTCCTTGGGTGCTCTCCCCGACCCCCTTAATTTTTGACACATTTTTCATGGAGCTCATGAGGTTGACAGCACCAACTGGCCAGCAGGTTCTAGGACTTCCGGTGCATGGCCCATGCCTAGCTGTGTACCTGCTCATGCCAGTCAGGACCTTGCTGACTGAACTATGTCTTGTCTCCTGGTCCAAGTATCTATTTATTTATTTTCATTGTCTGCTATGGGGATTGAACCCAGGGACTAGAACATGGAAGATAAGTGCTGTGCCACTGAGTTATATCTCAGTCAGAAGAACTTGGTTGTAAACAACCCGGAAAGAAAAATCACTATTATATGAGATGGCTACCATCTGCAATGACTTGGGCACTCTTATTATCAGTATTTTTCAAGGGAGGAATGTGAGATTTTGAGTGCTTAAATAATTTTCTGGCAGTCTCCAGGATAGCAAGTGATGTGGCCTGGGGAGGGGGTGGTGGTTGACTACTGTGCACTGTTGTCAGCACTCTTTCTTAGAAGCTACTGGCAGATATCTGGGTTGCTTCCAGATGGGTGACTCAGCAGTAGGGACAGGGGCTCCAAGGGCACACTTGTCCCAGTCCTACCATATGGACTCCCAGTGCTCACTGCCTGGCCACTGGCCCATAGGCCTCTGCTGAGGCTCTGTAGACCCGTGTGCGTCACTGACAAAGCTCCCAAACATGTACCCAGCACTCCAGGGAGAAGGAGAAAGTTAGGGAAAACCTGTCCCCCACATGCCAACAGGCTGCCTGCTTTCTGACTGGCTAATGTTAGCACCACCACGTGGGCCAGCAAACCGGCTACTGGTTTTGTTGTCAGCGATGCCAAAGGCCAGAGGAGTCTGAAGCATGAAGTCAGGGCCCTTGAGACAGCCATTGCTGTAGCTACCCACATCTGGACTGCCAGGGGCAGCAGAGACAGCTCTCTGGTCTGGATTCCTTTAAAAGCAGCTTAGCTTTTCTGCTTCTCCTCTGATTCTACTCCCACCCCCACCCCTTAAGCTACATTCCAGGTCCCGAAGAGGAAATTTTGAGTGACTGCCCTGGGGAGGGAGGGATCTGCCTGAGGCTGATCTCTCTGTACGTCCTCACTTAAGCAGCATTTCTCAACCTGTGGGTTACAATCCCTTTGCGATGGAACAACCCTTTCTCAGGGGTCACGATTGAGATTTTTACATTATGATTCATAGCACTAGCAAAACTACAGCTATGAAGTAGCAACGGAAATAGTTTTATGGTTGAGGGGGGGTCACCACAACATGAGGAACTGTGTTAAAGGATCGCAGAGTTAGGAAGGCTGAGAACCATTAATGCAGGGGAATGCAACTATTTCCCTTTTTTCTCTTTCATTTTCTTCTCCTTTTCTGTAGGAAAGGGTCTCATGAGTGTCCCATGCACCTGGTGTATTGATGGTTGAACCTCTCCACCCCTGAAACACAGTGGTTTGTTTTGTCTGATATTAGAGGAAAATAATGTAAGGGGGAACCCAAGTAACACTGTGGCCATTTCAGCCTGGTCTAATTAGGGAGACTTTCCTGCCGGGAGCCTGATGATGAGGAGTGTTGGGGTCTCCTGTCGGTCACGGCAGGGGTCTTGGGTGTCAGCAGCTATTCACTACCAATACAAAACTCAGAAGAGATTCAAAGAGAGATTCTAAGCAACAAGAGACCCTGTTCCAAACAAGGTGGAGGAGAGACTGGCTGTCAAGGCTGCCATTCCTCCACACGTGGGGAGTGACAATGCATGCCCAAGTTCAAACACAAACAATCCTAGGACCACAGACCTAGGGTCCCTGAGACACAAAATTTCCTCGGGGCCTTACACAGAGTTGCAGGGGTCGGGGTGATGTTTTGCATTCATCAGATCAGCAGGATGTTTTGAAAGAACAAATCTAGCATCCTTGATGACCAAGGACACAGGTTCCATGATGGGCAGGAGAAGGGAGGGATTGCTTCCAGCTCTCTGTAGGTGGTAAGTGTGACAGATCATGTCAAAAGCCTGCTGATCAAGTCACTCTTCGATAACAATTGTGTGTGTGTGTGACAGAGAGAGAGAGAGAGAGAGATGTTTGTGTTTAATCTGGGTGTGTGTTGCCATTCCCCACATGTGGAGGAAAGAGGGCAGCCTTGGCTTTCAATCCTCCCCTTCCACCTTGTCTGAGGCAGGGTCTCACCAGGCTGGCCGGCCTGCGTGCTTCTGGAGGGTCTCCCGTCTCTGCGTATTGTCTCTCCGTGGGAGCACTGGGGTTGCAGACGCACTGTCACGCTCAGCTGGACATTGCTCTGGAGACACAAACTCAGGGCCCCACACCGGCACAGCAAGCCTCTACCCCCTGAGCCATCTTTCAGCCCCATCAATCTTAGAGTTCAGATGGGGGGGTCTCTCGTGTGTTGTGGGTTCTGGGAGTTGAACTCAGGTCCTTGTGCTTGCAAGGCAAACATTTTATTGACTTGGCCATTTGCCCAGCCCCTCAAGCCATCAATTCACAAACAGTAGCTTACTGTAAAGAAAATGTGTGGTCATGTGCCCAGGGCTTTAGCTAAAAAAAAAAAAAATACTTACTGGTGCTTTGGAAACAGACAGGAAATTGATTGACAAAGTCATCAAAAGCATGTTATAAGAAAATATATTAATGTAGAGAGATGGGTATCTTATGCTGGGGAATGAGAAAGCATAAAGGGAAATATGCAAGAAAAATAAGACACAGCATAACAAAAAGATTAAAGTCAAACTCAGTATTCAGATAATCTGGGCGAGTCATTGAAGCCTCAGGTTTTCCTGCCTGTGAAATGGGCATGAAAGGACTTTCTTCACATTTCCCGCGCTAAACTTCTGCTTCCTGACCCTGCTCCCCGGCTCTCATCTCCATCTCTGAGATGGAGGTCACTTTTCAGTCACCTCAGGCTACCTTCCCTTAACTTTTATGTGCTTTGGTGTTTATTAATGTTGGCTGTTCCAAACGTTTAGATCGAGTTTGTTGGTCCCTTGAGTTTTTCATTGTGCTTGTTTTCATTAAGATATCGCTAAAAAAGAGACAAACAGCCCATAGGGAACAAATTTCCTAAGGGAAACAAGTTTACAGAATATGCATACAAATGTCACCTAAACATAAAGATAAGAAAAATGTTGTCACCTAAACATAACGATAAGAAAAATGTGTGGCAAAACCCCGCTAAGGTACTGTTTCTTAACTGTCAGCTGTCCAGTTAGGCAAACTCCAAATAGTTAACGACACATTTCAAGTGTTATTGTTAAGTGTCATTATCAAGCCAATTAGAAGTGACTGGCTCTCACTCCGCATCTCCGCTCCTCTCTTCCGGTTTGGACGCTGCAAGCTGAATCTCAGTGTTGCCATTGGTTTCTGCTGTGTTCTGCCAGTAGGGGCGCCAACGGGGGAGACTGAGCCAGGAGGAGAGGAAGCCGACCTCCACCCTCCTGCTTTGCTTCCGGTCTGTCTGCTTCCTGCTTGTTCCTGAGTGAGTAGCTCTAGTCGCTGACTGACCACACTGGGAAAAACAAAGAAAGCACAAAAAATAATATCTAATTAATTTACAAGCATCGTTACCATTTAGCCCAGTAACCAGACCCTCCTCGTTCCAAGTGGCATATGTTCAAGATCATCTATTACAGTCTTATTGGAAATAGCAAGAATTACCCAATTACAAAAATAATCTATGGCCTGCCTGTCTATAGAATAGATGTTTTATAGCAATTAAAATTTAAAAAACAGAATATCGTTAATTAGAAAGAAAAATGGATTACCGTAGCATTCTGTTTTCCAAAACCAGGGAGAATTTAAAAACATATGTATAGTCTTGTATAACCGTGGGTTGTGTCCCTAGAAGCCTACACTAGAAACTGGTAAGGACGGTCATCCAGCTGTCTCTGACTGCAGGAGTCAAGAGAAAGGAGACAGTGCCTGAATACGGTCATTCCTGGGGATCTGTACTGCCTGGTTTTGTGTCAACTTGACACAAGCTAGAGTCATCAGAGAGGAAGGAGCCTCAGCTGAGGAAATGCCTCCATGAGATCCAACTGTAAGGCATTTTCTCTATTAGTGATCAATGGGGGAGGGCCCAGGCCATGGTGGGCGGAGTCATTTCTGGGCTGCTGGTCCTGGGTTCTATAGCAGAGCAGGCTGGGCAAGCTGTAGGAAACAAGCCAATAAGCAGCATCCTCCATGGCCTTTGTATCAGCTCCTGCCTCCAGGCTCCTGCCCTGGCTTCCTTCAGTGATGAACAGGGATGCTGAAGTGTAAGCTGAACACACCCTTTCTTTCCCAACTTGCTTTATGGTCATGGTGTTTTGCTGCATCAATAGAAACTCAGACAGGGAGCGGGAGGGAGGGAGGGAGGGAGAGAGAGAATGAATTAGAGAAAAGTTTCTGTAGAGGATGTCCAAAGCATGAGGCAGAGGACACACAAATCTGTCATTGGCTTCAACCTCCACTTTGCCTGGGGCCCTTGACCCAAGGACCCAGATTTATGGAGCAGAAACAGGGGCTCCTTTACTCTGGCTTCTCCCACAGGGATAGGCAGAGACCTCTGCCCATAGTACTTCAAGCCCACCCTGCAGCCTGGGCATTCCTTCTGAGTCACCTGGGACCCTTGGTCCTACCCTGACTTTGCACCACCTAAGTCCATCAAGTGGCAATTTCTCTTGGAGCTGCTGTCAGCACCCTGGAAGTGCTGGCCCTGATCACCAGGGGCGCCACCTGGGTGGTGTTCCTATTGTTTTACTGTCTCTGCCCCCGCTCCACTGTAGGAATTCCTCTGCTCTGCTGGGAAATGAATTGTCCGTGCTGCCTTCAACCCGGAAAGACTGCAGAGGGCCGGGAGCCTCGAGTTTTCCACTAGGAACACACAGCTCCTTCCTCAGGGATCTCCCTGAGGTCTTTGTATGGGGTCACTTCAAATGGCCAGGACAGTTAGACACTGGGGTACACTGAGGCTCCACAAAAGACTTTACCTGGGACAATGGAGGGGATGGCTCCTTGAACCTGAGACTAAGGCTTGTGAGCCTATTCTCTGGGTGTCCTTCCTTGGTACCTCAGTGATGGGGAAGTCCTGGGTATATGTCAATAAAGCACTGTTGGCCAATAGGGAAGCAAGATAGGTGAGACTAGGAGTCCAGGAGGACTCTGGGTAGGAGAAACACAGGGAGTCAAGATGTAACCGCCATAGGGATAAGAAGCCCGGAAAATACTCCGGTAAGAGAAATACTTAGATTAACAATTATGGGATAAATACTTAAGTCAGAGCTAGCCAGTAAGAAACAAGCAAGGCCAACAGCTTCATAATTAATACAGCGTCTTGTGTGTTTATTTGGGACTGATGCGGCTCTGGAACCAGGCTGACGGGAAGGCTTCTCTTTACACCTCAGCATTAAATGATCCTCCCTCCCTCTCTCCCTACTCCCTCCCTCCCTCTCTGCAGATCAGAAGGGTTTCCCCCCTTAAAAGACATACTGCTTCAAATTTTTCTAAAACTTCAAGTACAGGAGCCTTGCAAATCAATATTTGCTGCCGATGACATAAACAGTCTGTGATTTAAGACAGTTCCGGGCAAGAACAAAACTCAGTCTTGACAAAATGATGTTCATTAAGGTAGAGTGAAGCCTCTGCAGGAGGGGACTCCACAGGTACAGCCACTGGGCCAGGGGCCAACAAGAGCATGTGACTGAGGCAGAGATACATACGGAGAGGGAGCAAAGGGGTCTGGGATATCTCATCTGTTTAGGAAAACAAATGGTTCTCACACTCCTCGGCTGTTTTTTACCTGTAACCAATTGCTAGGCTAATTCTACACAATTCTTCATGTTGCTCCAAAGAGAGCCTCAAATGTCTGCTTGTCCACAGCCTCGGGCTCTGTCTGTTCTCAGAGGGAAAACACAATATATATGTTTTCATTTTTTAAACGTAGGAGGAGAAGGGTGTGTGGGGGCAGGGTTGGTTTGCTTTTTGAGACAGCGTCTCCACTACATAGCCCTGGCTGGCCTGGAACTCTATGTAGACTAGCCTGGCCTCAAGCTCACAGAGATCTGCCTGCCTTTGCCTCCTGCGTGCTGGGATTAAAGACATAGCCCCACACCAGACTACATATAATTGTGGGATGGGCACTAAAGTCCATTGGGGGACCTGTATCTTAACCAGCCATTGTCTGTTAGTTCACAAAAGACGTTGTTAGCTCACTGGTGGCTTTCCTGCCCGACTTACCCTGCCCTGACCCCACCCCATGAGGTCCAGTCTGGGAACTCCTAGCCCTGACTACTGCCTCCCCTGCTCCTGGACAGTCAGACTTCTGGGAAACAAAGATGGCTCCACCCTTTGAGAATGTCAGGGTGAGGCGGAAGAGATGATTCAGGGACACTGACTACTCTTCCAGAAAGGTCAGGGTTTGAGTCCCAGCACCTACATGTTGTGTCACAACCACCTATAACTCCAGTTCCAGGGGATCCCATGCCCTCTTCTGGCCTCTGTGGGCACCAGGCATGAACATGGTACATGTGACATACATGTAGGCAAAACAGCCATACACAAGAAACTATTTATTTATTTTGATTTGTTTATTTAAAAGGAAAAAGAAATGCCCCCAGCCCCAAAGACTAATTTTTTTTTAAGAAGAAAGAATCAGTAACATCAGAGTCACAGTTTCACGTGGGAACAGCCTTGTCACAAAGTGGAAGGCCATCTCAGGGTAGAGCCCACAGCTCGGGAGCCTCAGGGAGGCTGGGGGATCAATGAGATACCAAATCGGATGCCGGTTAAGCTTCTGCAGTTCAGAGTCAGGCAGTTCACCGTGCTCTGCCCGCCTGTGCATGTCAAATGACTTTGGGAACTTTTATGTGGGCGTGAAGTTTGGGGTTTGTAGAAAAAAAATTAACAGCACATTTCATAGCGTAATTATGAAATTTTCTCTGCAGGAGCACACGTGGTCTGCACAACCCTGAGGTGTTTGACAGCTCTGCTCAATGATGCTGATCCCTCTGCCTACCCCTCCCCGCCACACATACCACCTCACTGCACCAGGGTCCCTCGTGGCCACCACCCTGCCTCAGAGACCAGCTGCAGAAGTCTCCAAATCAGCCCCATCCTGATCTGCTGTGGGAAGGGGGTGCCCATCACAACGCCGCTCGTGAGTCACACCCGAAGGACCTGTCTCTTTCTCTCTTGTTTCGTTTGGAATTCACACCGACAAAGATTCCATTATCCCGTGCAATAACTTTTGCCCAGAGTGATAGAAATTTTCAGTCTACCTGGATTAGGGCAGCCCTGAGAACAGCAGGTCAGGGAGGAGGGGGATGGGCAGGTACACTGTTGTCACCCTCCGTCCATAGGCACCCTTGCTCTTGTCTGGGGATGCTCTTTCTTTGTTCTCAGCCTCTCTCCTGGAGTCCTCTCTCCTCTCAGTTCCCCGAGTGAGGAACTCCTCCTTCGTGACAGCTGCCACTGTCCTTTCCCTCCCCTGGTTTTTCCTCCCCTGGTCCAAGCCCTCTTCCCCAGAACATCAAAGCTTAAAGGGTTAAGATAATGTGTGAGACCACAGTGAGATAGAAGCTACCCCAAGATGGCCAGAGGTTAGCTTCATGCCTCTCCCTCCTTATTCATCCCCACCCTGAGAGGTCTTAATCATTTGAACCGGAGCCCCAAGTCATAGGAAACACAAGTAAGAATCTAGGAAGGGCATGCAGACTCCTCCTACCCCTCAGGAGGAAGCAGGCCTGGGGCCCCTGTGCTCAACCCTCCCAGAAAGCAACTCTTTGCTTTAGTGATTGATTTGTCTAAGGCTGAGGGCTGTAGAAATGGCATCTCCTGGTGCAGGACTGGGTGCCTTTGGCACTGTCTGGGCCCCAGCTCCGTGTAGCCTCCCTGTCCTACGTCCACTCTTTGGACACAATGCCACCAGCCAGATCACTCATGGCAGTCCAGGAGGAAAGCTGAGGGTTCGATCTGAGAGAATGGTGTCTACACAGACACTGGTTCGTGGAGTACTGACCGAGATTAAGATGCACAAGCTGTGGTTCCCATTCATAGATGTGATGCAAAGGATGAATGTTGAGTTTTTTAAACTCCTTTGTATGTGTAAGAGGTGTGTGTGTGTGTGTGTGTGTGTGTGTGAGAGAGAGAGAGAGAGAGAGAGAGAGAGAGAGAGAGAGAGAGAGAGAGACTATGGGTCTTCACGTACCTTGGTACATGTAGAGGTCAAAGGAACCTTGGGTATCAGTCCTTTCCTTCCATCTTGTTTTGAGACAATGTCCCTTCTTTTTTTAAAGAAATCTTTATTATTATTATTATTATTATTATTATTATTATTATTATTATTATGTATACAATCTTCTGCTTGCATGCCAGAAAAGGGCATCAGAGCTTATTCAAGGTGGTTGTGAGCCACCATGCGGTTGCTGAGAATTGAACTCAGGACCTTTGGAAGAACAGTCAGTGCTCTTAACCGCTGTCCCTTCTTCTTTGGGAGTAGTTTCAGGGGTGGTGGTGATTTCATTAAAAGGAGGATGCCCAGGCCCCTGAGCTGTCCTCCCAGCAGGTTCAGGTCAGGGACTTGGCACTAGAGAGGAAACCCTGGGGGCTGAAACATCTCTCTTAGATTGGATGTAACTGGTCTTCACATTCATACTTGCATCATTCTAGTCTGTGGCCAGTCTCTAGGGACAGGATCTACAGTGGCACAATGTCCCCAGCCTGCTGTCCCCATCAGAAGGCTCATGTCTGTAACCTTGAACAAAGACAGGCAGATCCCAGAGTTCACTGGCTAGTCATCTTAGTCAAACAGGAAGCCTTGGGTTCACTGAGACACCCTGTCCCAAGGCAAGAAGATAGTGACAGAGGAGACACCTCCTGTCCTGCTCAGCTTGGGTGCTCAACCTGTTTTCCACTGTGGTCAACCTGTCTCAAGACTTGTGTCTGATGAATAAGTCACCCAAACACACTGACTCCAAACGGTGGTGGGCTCTTCTTCCCCGAGAAGCTGTGAGTTGACCGGGCTCAGTTGAGTGGTCTAGCAGGGCACATTTAGTGGTTACATCGATTTGGGAGTTTGGTTAGAACTAGAGAAATGTCCAAAATGGCCTCCTTTCAGGACCCCACATTATTACTGTTCCAGCTCGATGGGTGGGTTCTAAGAAAGAATATTCTGAAAAGACAAGTCTACCCTGTAAGCACATGCCAAGAACCTGCTAGTGTCATGCTTGCTAATGTCCCATTGGTTAAAGGAAACCATGCATCCAATGCCAGAGTCAATGTGGGAGGAGTCACAAAAATGTGAATTCTGGGAGGTGTGGTTCATTGAATGCCACCCTGCACTCTCCTGGGAACCTGGAAGGTAGGACAGGTTTCTCAACAGACAGCATCTCTCAGGGGTCGGAGTCAACCCACCTGCTCTAGAGGTGGGGAAAGGTTTCTAGAGTTCCTCCATGATGTCACCACTAAAACACAGCTCTCACATCAAAGGGGATAAGGAGATAACTTATTCTAGAGCCAACTATGAGTGACCGTGGCCTGGGAACACAGATTTAGGTTAGCCCAAACTCCATGTTCCTGCAGGGAAGCAGACTTGTGAAGTTTTTGCAGTAACAGGACAAAGAAAGCCCTAACTCAGTATGCTTTTCAAATGCTCTGGTGGGAACATCAGAGAGACACTTTACAGCAAGTGGGGCAAGCCTCTGCTACATGCTGTCTAAGACATGTGTGTTCCAAATGGTCTTCTGGGTCAGGAGAGCTATCAATGCTATAAGAGAGCTAAAGAAGACCCAGGATGCTTTGACTCTGGCCTTGCAACGTTCCAAGCTCTACATAGTCACTGATGTTCTAGTCAATTCATCAGCCTTGCTGAAGTTTCAGTTTGAATGTGTAGCTTTTTTCTGGGAGCTGTTGTTCACAGTGGTAGCATTCTGGTCTAGCAAAAAGACATTGTCCTGGGAGACAATGGAGGGATTTTCCCTGACATCCATTAGTTCTCTCACAGGCTCATTCACTAAATGTAGGCATCAGGCAACCCCTCCTACCAGCTGTAAGAACACATTCATCTCCTCCCCTGAGCTCTTCAGCCACAGAAGAATCCTCTTTCCTTCCAGGGGAGCCACAGTGGTTAAGAGAACCGACCTGGAAAGCAGGTGGCTTGGCTTCAGATCCCAGCTACCACACAGCAGCTTTGCAAATACAGGTGCTTGCCCAACCTCCCACCATCTGAGTTCCCCTGAGGAAGACATCACTTCATCCATGGAAAGTACTCGGAACAGAGCCTGACATGGACTAAGCAGGCAATCATTTGCCAAGGTTACTCATGGTGAATCCTTCGATAGAAGAACCTTGTGGAGGCCGGCAAGATAGCTCAGTGGATAAGGGCACTTGCAGCCAAGCCTAATGACCTGACCTGAGTTCAATTCCTGAGACCCCCTGACTCCCTGAAGTTATCCCCTGGCCTCCACAGACACACCATGGCACATGGGTGCATGGATGTGTACACATACAATAAACAAAAATATAACACATTTCTTAAAAGAATTTTTCAAATATCAAAATTAACAAATGACAGAATAAATAGTAAACCGACTTACAGTATATGAAAATAAAATAAAATAAACTCCCTCACAAGATCCCACCATGTTGAAAGTATCCTAACTGCCTGGCATGTGCAATATGTTTCTCTGAAATCTACACACATATCCATCCTTTTCTTTGCAAAATGAAGTCTCAGTCTAGCACACTGTGACCCTCCAGTGAAGACCTAGAGATTTGTCAAGGTCATGGATACTAACATTGACTCCTCCAGTTTCACTCGCCATCTGCATTTCCCCGTGTGACCTATCTCTTCCTATGGGGAGTTTGTAAGTAAGGGTGTGATAAATGCCCCCCAAGTCCCAACTGTGACCTCTTTTCTACACCAACAGAAACTAGAGTCACCTTCGGAGTCCCAGGTAACTTCTGTGTGCCTGGATCTACTGATCTTGTCTGCATCTCCACAGGACTTAGCTTCTCTCTACACCAGGACTTAACTCTAGCTTGCACTCCATCCAAGTACCCTCCCTGTTCTAGTGGCTGGACTCAGACATCTGCCATTCTGTCCCAAGCTCATCCCATGTAGCCCTGCCTGATTCTTCCTCATTATCTGCTTCCCACAACCTCTATCTAAGAGCTGCTTTCTATTTAGACATCCAACACTGGCTGTGCGTTCACCTGCTATGATTGTGGGCATTTGTGTTTATTCTCCAGGCACCAGGGCTCTAATTGGAAGCCCCACTCGTCCTTTCTCCCTCCAGGGTCTCCGTGAGCACACAAACCCCGACCCCCCTCACAGCCATGCTGTCTTGTACACATTCATCAAGTGGTTATCCAGCTTTCTCCTCTCCTGCCAGCACACAGAGGAGTCTTGGGGAGATGCTGAACTAAATAGTAAACAGTCCATGGTCTCCAACCCTAATGGACTGTATGATGCAGCTTCCCAGGCTCTATTTCCTAGCTGCTAGGAAACTCTGTGACTCTCACGGAGGAGTTGATTCCTGACCCAGGGAAGCCTGGCTACATCATGCAGCCCGACAGATTCTAAGCAGGAGAGAGGAGTCAGTTGCTAGATGATTCCTTTTTTGATCCCCTAAGCCACCAAGCTCTCCCTGAGGATTCTGGGCCGCTCTCCCTTGACTGGCTCCAAAATGTATTAGCTCTACCAACTTTTTTTTCCGTAGTCTACAAAGCCAGCTAAACTCGTGGGTACCGCTTATGTAAAGACCTTAAACCACATGTTTACTTTCCTGAACTGTAAAAAGTTTATAGGGGGCTGGAGTTCTTGTCCGGCACCATACTCAGAATTGCCACCACATTCCACCGGGTGACAGAGGGCTCTCTGTCAGCACCCCCCACCCAGACGGGAGGGGTGGGTAGATAGGACACAGTTATCCAGACCCAGTAGGAAGAGTACAGAAGATGGGTCTAGACAACAGAGTTTCAAGCTCCTGGGGGAAGGTGCAGTGGGAAGGAACGATGATGGAGATTTGGGAGCTGTGGAGACAAGCAACAAGCCCACACAGAATGCCCAGAGACATGGTGCATGCCAGTGTTCTCTCCCTGGTGGACTCTCTCTCTTACAGAAGCAGATGTAAGGGCACTGAGCCCACAGCAGTACCAGAGCTGGTCCCCACTGAAGTCTACTTTCAGACACAGCTCCTGAATCCTAGGAAGAGAGGTCGCTGAAATTGATGCTGAAACAAACTGGGGTGGGCTAATATAAATACAAGTATATTTACATTAGTAACTTTTCTCACAGCTCTGACAAAGCACCCGATTGAAGCCGCTCAAGGGAAGAAGGATTTATTTGTGTTCAGTTTGACAGGATCCAGTCCATCATGGTGGGCACCATCCATGGTGGGGGAGGTTGTGGCTCAACTTATGTGGTGGTTTGAATGAGAAAAGCCACGCCCCCCATATTTAAACACTTGGTCTTCAGTTGGCAGCACAGTTCGGGGGAGGTCATGGAACCTTCAGGAAATGCACACACTGAAGGAAATATGTCACTGGGCCTCGCCCACTTCCATTTACTGCCTTTGTTTCTGGTATGCTGAGCAACTGTCACCAGCCAGCTTCCTGCCAGGCCATTTGCTGCTGTGCTGTGCCTACCAGCATGGACTCCAGCCGTCTGAAACCATAAGCTAAACAAACCTCTGATGGGGGAAGTCCTTCTGTGTATATGTTGTCCTACTGGCTGATAAATAAAGCACTGTTGGCCAATAGGGAAGCAAGATAGGTGGGACTAAGAGTCGAGGAGGATTCTGGGAAATGTAGTCAAGAGTGGAGAGTCGCCGTGTGATCCCAGGAAGAGAGAATGCATGAGGCTGGCTTCCTCAGTAAGATGTCTTATAAAAATATATATTAGTAGTTATGGGTTAATAATTAAGTCAGAGCTAGCCAATGAGAAATCATAGCAAACGACCAACAGCTTCATAATTAATATAGTGTCTTGTGTGTTACTTGGAGGTGGAGACAGCGGCGGGACCCAGGCAGCTGGAGGGGAAGAATGACATTGCAAGCTTCCTTCCCTAAGTTGCCTCTGGTTGTGGTATTTTATCACTGCCACAGAAAGACGCTGATGCTTGCTACAAGCTGGCAGCCCAGGAAGTACAGCTGTGCTCCAAACTTCAAGGCCCACCCTCTAGTGACCCACTTGCTCCAGGCACCACCTTTTAAAGGCTGTAAACTGTGTAAGTCACCTACCCAGGGTCTGTTTGCCCATCTGTAAAGTAAAGACAGAAGTGCCTGAGTTAGGGATGCAGAGACAAGTGGACCCTGGAGCCTTGCTGACGAGCCAGTCTGGCTTAAACTATGGTCAGTGAAAAGTCTGTCTTTAAAAATGACGTGGAAAACAATGGAGGAAGATACCCAAAGTCAAAGTAGTCTTCACAATTGCACATTTGTTTGCAAGTGCACACCACACACACACACATACACACACACACACACACACACACACACACAAAACCAGGGCATTAATTAGTTTTCTGTTGCTGTAATAAAGTATCATGGCCAGAAGCCACTCATAAATGCAAAGGTTCATTGTGACTCACAATTCAGAGGGATGAGTCCATCATAATGGTGGAGGAGCAGCAGGAAGCTGAGCACCATATCTTGAACACGAAGTCCAAAGCAGAGAACTAGAAACAGAGAAACTATAAAACTTTAAAGCCTGTTCCCAGAGGCATGCTACCTTCAGGAAGGCTGCACCACCTAAGCCTCCCCAAACATCACCACCTACTGAGAACCAAGTGTTCAAACACACAAGCTTATGGGGGACAGTCCTCATTCAAACCACCAAACATAAACACACAATTTTTTTTTTACATTTTCACCATTAACATTATGGCCCTAGGAAATAGTTGCATCAGAGACAGACATGAACTCTTCAAGACTTCAGACACCTGTTTAGGAAACTGAGTCTCTCTGAGATACAGACAAAGCTGCCTACACTAGCCCCTCTCTCCTCAACAGTGGGACCCACCTCACTTCACTCAAGGTCAGCCTCATAAACAGACTCTTTTCTCAAAGTGTTGTCTTAGGCCAAAGTGTCAATGCCTCACAATAGACTGGAGCGTGTTTCCAGCCCAACCAGAGGTTTCAACACATTGCGACTATTACTGATTAATTACTTATTAATTAATCAAAATAGCTTCTAGAGGGCTACAGAGATAGAGGAGTCAGTAAATTACTTGTTTTGCAAGAATGGAGATCTGAATTAGAGCTCCAGACCCACGTGAAAAACTTTCTGTGGTTGTGCGCACTTGTAACCCTAGCACTGGAAGGCAGAAAGCCCAGATCCCTGGGGCTTGGTGGTCTGTCAGCATAGCCCACCTGGAAAGTTCCAGGTCCACGGGAGACCTTGTCTCAGAAAACACGGACAGTAACACCCAAGACTGTTCACTAGCCTCCATTTGCACACACACACACACACACAGAGTTGCTAAAGGGACAAATTTTGCTGAGTAGTACAGCTGGCACAGATACATCTGCTGGCCACACCTGGAATTCACACTCTAAACTTAACACTCTCCAAATGGGTGGGGAACCCATCTTCTCCTCTACAACGACCTAGGAAATAAGTCTGAAGGCTTACGCATTTGGCCAAAAGATCTCCGAGCCATGCAGAGCCATAGCGTCCTGCCTCTGTGTCAGCTGTTCTTGTTCGGGGTGTCTTGTGATGGACTGGTGTGGATTGGATGAAACCACTCCAGTTAACCGTCTCATCTGTAGAGCCCCTGCCCCGGCGATCTACCGGCTGTTCTGCCATACCCACCACCCGTCACCCTCATGGGACTGTCCCGGATACTGGGAGAAAATTTGTCAGGTCTCCTTCTCCAGAGTCAAGGCCATGGGTGTCCCCGCTGCCAGGACAATATGATCACCTCAGCGCAGCCAGTCCAGGCTTCCCTCAAGGAAAGTCGCCCCTGCTTCGCTGTGGCCTCTGCCTCATGGGACGTGTTGGTTCTGTGATGGGTTGTTATTTGTCTGTGACAAAATACCTGACAGGAAGCAAACTCAAGGAAGGACTTACATGACGACTACTTACAATACCAAAATAATGAAGGTGTGGACTCTGTCTCCTGATGCACATCTGTAGTGTTTCAATGAGAAATACCTCACACAGGCTCCTGTAGCCAAACACTTGGTCCCCAGCTGGTGGCGCTGTTTGGGGAGATTATGGAACATTTAGGAGGCAGAGTCTTGCTGGAGGAAGTATGTCACTAGGGCTGGACTTTAAGAGTTTATAGCAGTCTCCACCACCACCCCCATTTGTGGACAAAACGTGATCTTTCCACGGCTGCTGCTGTAGTTTCCCCGACATTCTGCATCTGGATTCTATCCCTCTGGAACTGTAAGCAAAAATAAACCCATTCTTCCCCATGTTGCTTTTCGTCGTGGTGTTTTATCACAGCAACACAAACAATATAGCTACAGTATGAAAACATCTAATTTCACATCTGCAAATATAATGTAAAAATCTGCAACGGTGTTATAAATGGTTGAGGGACTGGAGAGATGGGTCAGCTCTAAGAGCATTTGCTGCTCTTGTGGAAGACCAGAGTCCAGTTCCCAACGTCCAT